TTAATATTAAATGTATTCCGTGTATGTTATCAGTCAAGAAGAAAGACCAAGAAATGAGTGTAGTGAAGAAGAAGGACGGAGATATGACAATAGAAACAAATGACCATTTAGTCAATGTTAGTTTTAATAGGGTAATAACATAGTATTTAAAGAGTAGATTTTACATTAAATCAATTTTATAAATATATATTTAAATAAATAATTATATAAATAAATATATATAGAAATGTCTGAAGTTGAGAATGATGCTATTGCTGAACTATCAGAGAAGATAATGACAGTTAGTAAAAATGTTAAACTGTTGTACGAGATGATAAAAACTATTGACCAGAAACTTGATGCAAAGGCAAACGAACCAAAAAATAACAATGAAGAGAAGGAAAAGATTGATAAGATCTTTGAAAAGAAAGGGATAGGCAGACCCAGCGGTGATTATGACACGAAGCGTAAAAACTATTGTGATATGTTAAATAAGGGACAAATCAAAAGTCCAAAAGAACAAACATTAGAATATTATAAACTAATTAAGGGCGATGATGGTAAATATGTAATTGTTGAAAATTAAAATACAAATAGTTCTAATAATATGAATTTATTAGAATTATTTCCAGGCAATGGTTCTGTTTGTAAAATTGCACGGGATTTAGGTTTTAATCCAATTTTAACAATCCTAATATTAATCATAATATAATATATTTGAAACATAAATTTCATCATAATTTCAATAGAATTTTAATGTATTTGTTCAATATAATTTAAATGTAATTTGAATATAATTTAAATATAATTCTAATGTAATTTTAATTTAATTTAAATATAATTATAATGTAATTTTAATTTAATTTAAATATAATTTTAATTTAATTTTAATTTATTAATTTAATTTTAATTGTTTAATTTAATTTTTAATTTATTAATTTAATTTTATTTTTTTTAATTTAATTTTAATTTATTAATTTAATGTTATTTTATTAATTTAATTTTAATTTATTAATTTAATGTTATTTTATTAATTTAATTTTAATTTAATTTTAATTTAGTAATTTTAATTTATAAATTTAATTTTATTTTAAAATTAAATTTCTTGTAAAAAGTATTTAAAGAAATATTAATTATATATATTATCATACAAATGGTTGTATTTACAGAGGTTGAACAGGAAGAAATTATCAATGAATTCTTAAATTATATTGAACAACAGGAAACTAAAATAGTTGATGATTTTTTGAGTGATAATGATAATAAAATAGAAGAAGAAGATGACAGTTACGGATTTGTAACTGAAAAACGGTTAGAAAAGGAAACTACAGAACATCATAAAACGATAAACAATATTGAAACGAAAAATTACATCCCATTAAAACATGCAATGATAAAATATATGGAACAAACCAACAACGAACGAATAATTAGAAATGCTGGAAACTATTCATACAGTCAAAATACACCCAATTGGTGGTATTTAAGCTTTAGAGAATTTGAATGGTTAATCGAAATAAAAAGGAATGGCAACAGATGGGTTTGTAGCAAAGAAAAATTAGATGCAGTTGATTTTAACATATTGTATAAATATAGAATGTTTAGAAAAAGATTTGAATAATTATAAAAAAAAACGAATGAACATAACATTGCCCATAATATTTCTACAAAATTTGTGATAAAATTTATTGCAAATAATTTATCACAATTTTTGGAATAATATTTTGAAAGTTTTGTAAAATTGTATTTTGTAAAATTATATATTTTTTAAAATTTATTTTTTAAAATTTTGTAAAATCTATTTTTTAAAATTTATTTTTTTGAAAGTTTGTAAAATTTATTTTTTAAAGTTTATTTTTTAAAATTTATTTTTTAAAATATGGATGAACTTAACCTTGCCCATATATATTTTTGAAAATTTTGAATATAAAATATTGGATAAACTGACTAGGAAATTACCTGCTTTGAAATGTTGATTTTTGAAAATGTGCTGTTTGAGGTGCTGTTTTAAAATGTTGCTCAAAGTGTAGGGAGGACCCTAGGATTTTTTATTAAAAAAAGACGGGCAAGGTCTGGTCTAACTCACACACCCCCACAAACCCCCACACACCCCCACACACACCCACACACCCCCACACCCCCCCCACACACCCCCCACACGCCCCCACACGCCCCCACACGCCCCCACACGCCCCCACACGCCCCCACACGCCCCCACACGCCCCCACACGCCCCCACACGCCCCCACACGCCCCCACACGCCCCCACACGCCCCCACACGCCCCCACACGCCCCCACACGCCCACACGCCCCCACACGCCCCCACCCGCCCCCACCCGCCCCCACCCGCCCCCACACGCCCCCACACGCCCCCACACACGCCCCCACACGCCCCCACACCACACGCCCCCACACCACACGCCCCCACACCACACGCCCCCACACCACACGCCCCCACACCACACGCCCCCGCACCACACGCCCCCGCCCCCACACCACACGCCCCACACCACACGCCCCCACACCACACGCCCCCACACCACACGCCCCCACACCACACGCCCCCACACCACACGCCCCCACACCGCACGCTCCCACACCGCACGCCCCCACACCGCACGCCCCCACACCGCACGCCCCCACACCGCACGCCCCCACACACCACACGCCCCCACACACCACACGCCCCCACACCACACGCCCCCACACCACACCCCCCACACCACACGCCCCCACACCACACGACCCCACACCACACGCCCCCACACCACACCCCACACCACACGCCCCCACACCCACGCCCCCGCACCACACGCCTCCACACCACACGCCCCCACACCACACGCCCCCGCACCACACGCCCCCACACCACCCGCGCCACCCGCGCCCCGCACGCCCGCACGCGCCCCCACACGCCCCCACACGCCCCCCACACGCCCCACCCCCCACACCACACGCCCCCACACCACACGCCCCCACACCACACGCGCCCCCGCATGCCCCCGCACACGCCCCCGCACACGCCCCCACACGCCCCCACACCCCCCCACACCCCCCCACACCCCCCCACACCCCCACACACACCCCCACACACACCCCCACACACACCCCCACACACACCCCCACACACACCCCCACACACACCCCCACACCCACCCACACACCCACCCACACACCCACGCACACACCCACCCACACACCCACCCACACACCCACCCACACACCCACCCACACACCCACCCACACACCCACCCACACACCCACCCACACACCCACCCACACACCCACACACACCCACCCACACACACCCACACCCACCCACACACCCACCCACACACCCACGCACACACCACCCACAACCCACACACCCCCCACACCACCCCACACCCACCCACACACCACCACACACCACCCACACACCCACACCACCACCAACAACACACCCCAACACCACCCACCCCCAACACCCCCCCACACCGTTGGGTGGGGGTGGGTGGGAGGGGGGTAGGGTGGGTGGGTGTGTGTGGGGGGGGGGGGTGGCGCCGCACCACACCCACCAGCACACCACCCAACCCCCCCGCACCCCCACCACACCCCCCCCCACCCAACCCCACCCACCCCACCCACCACCCCACCCCCACCCAACTCACCACCCCCACCGCACACCCAACCCAACCCAACACCCCCACCCACCACCCCCCCCCACCCAACAAACCACCCCCACCCAACCCACCACCCCCACCCACACCCCCCCCCACACCCCCTACACCCACCAACCCCACCACACCCCACCCCCCCCCACCAACCCCACCCACCACCCCACCAACCCCCACCCCCACCCGCACCCCCACCCCCCACACCCACACCACCCCCACACCCACACCACCCCCACACCACCCCCACACCCACACCCCCACACCCCCACACCCACACCCACACCCACACCCACACCCACACCCACACCCACACCCACACCCACACCCACACCCACACCCACACCCACACCCACACCCACACCCACACCCACACCCACACCCACACCCACACCCACACCCCCACCCACACCCACACCCACACCCACACCCACACCCACACCCACACCCACACCCACACCCACACCCACACCCACACCCACACCCACACACACACCCACACACACACCCACACACACACCCACACACACCCACACACACCCACACACACCCACACACACCCACACACACCACACCCACACCCACACCCACACCCACACCCACACCCACACCCACACACACACCCACACACACCCACACACACCCACACACACCCACACACACCCACACACACCCACACACACCCACACACACCCACACACACCCACACACACCCACACACACCCACACACACCCACACCCACCCACACACACCCACACACACCCACACACACCCACACACACCCACACACACCCACACACACCCACACACACCCCCACACACCCCGCCCCGCCCCGCCCCGCCCCACCCCGCCCCGCCGCCCGCGCGCACACCCGCACGCACACGCGCGCGCACACGCGCGCGTACACGCACACACGCACACACGCACACACGCACACACGCACACACGAACACACGCCCCCACACGCACACACGCACACACGCACACACGCACACACGCACACACGCACGCACGCACCCACCCACCCACCCACGCACGCACGCCCGCATGCACGCACGCGCGTTCGATTGGTACCAAAGCCTTTTTGAATGTGGCAAGCGCAAGAGTCGTACGCATCCGCAGGATGCAGATGGCGTACTCGGCTGAAGTTGCATAGATTTGTTTGAGAAACGGCAAGACTTTAATAGCGGCAGAATGACCCGCCTCCCCAAGATTCGCTGCGAAGTATAAACCAATGTGTCGGAGTGCTTGGAAATCGATACCCAAGTGACAGTGTGACGTGCCGAACAGCGCAAAACCAGCATGCTTGTGCATGTGTGCGTGGGGGATGTGCGGAGTAACATAGAATGATTTGCAGTCAGCTCAGACTGGGGCAGACAACATGCAAAACTACTGCTCGAGTGAAAGAGCCTGACACTTCTGACACCAACGGTACATGGGTCCAATTTGAACATTGAGGACAGGTCGCACTTCTGCTTCTTCCCTGGGAGCTTGCCTCAGCAGCACTTATCAAAGTCGTTCGTGGAATATGCATCAGGTAGGCCTCACTTGCATGAGCTTAGGCACTGGCTGGAATGGCCGCACAGCTATGGCTTTCTGAATTTCCTGTCAGAGTTTTACCCATGGTCGGCAAGCCAAAACACGGCCACCATTAGTTGAGCATCAAATGCATTAAGGCATGATGTACAAAGCAAGCAGCGAATGGCTGCCAAGCACCACCAGTGTCCCTGCTGCATTTGGCTTGGGTGCACTTGTTGGTCAATGTGCCTTGGCGTGTCGGTGTGCGGCTGCAACAATCAGACGTAGCATGTGTGCATCAAGCGCTCCACAAACCGAAGACTGGCAAGCAAAGGTGGATGGTGCTTAGCCGGCAGCATGTGGCCACCTCGTTGGCTGCATCAGCTCATTCATGTGTGTGTGTGTGAGAGTCTTCCTCGCGCCAATAGCGCGCTACAACTGCGGCCTTGAAAGCAAAAGTGACTTTGGCGGTCATTCCTAGCAATCCCTTCAGCCCAACGTGGCGAACAACACCTGCGCATGAGCGCTAATGGCTGGACCAAGGCAGAAAAGGCTGTCCAGGAGGCTAGCACATGAGGCATCTAAAGGTAGGCTTGTGCATCACTGCGAGGACGGAATGTTCCCTACGCTTCTCAAGGAGCTGAAGGTCAATTCTGGCTTGCCAGGCCGTGTGACGGAAGCAATCATGATGAGATCACGACCTGCAGCTTTCATCCTGCCAGGGACCGTGTCCGGATGCAACGATGAGTTTTGGCATTTTAATGCCTTGTATGCCGGAATCAATGCCAGCAGCTCGTTCTTTGCTTGCTTGTTGTTGCCATCAAGTTTTCACAATTGATGGCACCTCAGATTCTTGAACCTGCTGAGAGCAACTGCTTGAGGTCACTGGTGTTTCGGACACGTCCTTGGTGCATTTGGAAGGCCTCTTGATTCGCATTCCCCAAGGGCGGAAATCATTGGGCAACGCCTTGGCAGGAACATTGGTCTGATCAGAACACGTACATGATATACTACATATATATATATATGGTTTCCCCCCCCCATGAATCTAGAGAATTCACTGGTAAGTGTTAGAAGAACTTGAATGTTGTTTGGGTTTGGCCAGGATTGACAATTCTCAGGAAAGTTTTCTGTGCAATCTTCAATCTTGAATCTTGCATCCATTGGTAAAATACTGTCAAGTGCTTAGCGGTCCTAAACTTTCAAGCGCTTTTGGTCAGTGGTTTGCTTCATGCAGCTATGCTCATGTCGACCGTTTTCCAGCAGGTAATCAAAGGCAGGTGTAATGCTCAAAAACACTGTATGTTACAGTATTCTATCAAGAGGTGCGGGTACTATATACGTGTGTATGTATACATTATATATATAGATGTACTATATACATATGTATGTATGTATGTGCGCACACCGTCAGCCCCCCTCTTGAACTACCCGTTCACATTTGCTCGTCTACTACCTCCACCTTTTGAGATAGAGTGAATGTTGTTTTCCTGCGCAAACAGAACTTTAAATGCAACTGATTCATCTAGAATCCCTATTTCGAGACAGTTTTAGAATTTGAATCTCTCTTCCCTTGAAATTCCCTTTTGGAACACCGTCGAACAAGCTTAATTTCGGACCTTTCTTATGCTACAAAAGGGCCAGAATGTAAATAACATTTCGTATTTTGAATTTCCGTGTAGAAGTTCCTTGATTGTTTTGCCATATTTAATACGAATTATATTTGAGAAGTAGTCTCTATTTAGTTGTTATCATCAAAAGCTGATTGAATTGTGTTCGTATTAGATCATATTTAACACTTAGATTAATATCCAACGTCTTTTTTTCAAGATTAGTTGGAGAAACTATATTTACATTTTCATGTAGATCCTGTTTGGAAAGGATTTGCTCCTTCAAGCTGTATTTGAACATAAACGCAATTTTTGAAACGCTATCCTAACTAAAAAAATCAAAATTCCAATTCTAGTTGAAATCCTATTTCAGCATTCCTTAACAGATACGAGCTTGCCACTTTAGAAAATCACTTTTCTCAGCCTCAAATAGCATGAGAGTGGTCTAATCGGCTTTGAACTCACGGAGTTTTTGCTTTCATTATATTCAGGGCTGTTGGGTCAAGCGTTTCGAAGTTACCTGCTCACCCCACGAGGGCAGGCAGTGTTTCCAACCCCTGACATGTTTGATTTCCAGCACTTGTCTATTGTTGTGGATGTTGAAATAACTGGTGGGGTGTTTTACTAACAGTGAAAGAGTGCTAGCCAATTCGCCACCCTGGCCAAATATCTGGGCGAGATTTCAAGCTTCGAGAAAGCTCATTGAGGATATTCGTTGGGGCGATTCGGGGTTTGCCTTCTTCTTTCTTGTTTTCTGTTTGCGCCGCGCGGTCGGCTGCTGGCAACTGCGAGCAGCTGTGGCGGCTGCAAGTAGCAGGAGCGGTTTTGCGATCGCAGAGGTTCCTCGAATAGGCTATCGTTGCAAAAGACAGTGCTTGTTGAGTTCTGGAAGTGGAGGAAGCATAATTATGTCTTTTTATTGCAGGGTGATGACCATCCCAAAACTCGTAACTCAACCCAAGCAACTTGAGCTGTGGATCAGCTGGCATCAACCCAGACTGGCGGTATGCGTGTGTGTGTGTGGTTGCTCATCATTTTGGACGCAGTGCTGGGAGCGGCGTGTGGGGCTTCAAGAGGACTTGGGCTGGGGGAAGGCTGGCCCATTGATTTTCACAACGAGGATATCCGGGCAAATTTGTGCTAGGCTTTTGCAAGTCAGCCATCCAGCAGTTTACTCACCCGAGGATAAGTGGAGTGAGGCACTGCGCGCTGGCTTGTCGCACCAGTCCTTGGACAAGGTCTTGGGCGTGAAGAGTGAGTTTCTTCGGACTCTTCTGGAGGCCAAGGGCCCGCTTTTGATTCGGCGCAGAGAAATGGATTGGCGAAGATTGGTTTTGATGCCTTCAGCGCTAGGTTGGTTCAATGAAACCCCACTATGAGTTTTGCATTCATACAGGGAGCTGACTTTACCCTGACGCAGGTTGGACGGGCGGCGGTCCGTGCGGCTCCAGGGCGGTTTGACCGCTTGCGCAAGTGCTTGGCCAGGAGGATTGCAGGCCGCCCGATCACGAAGTTTGCGCGGGCCTTTTTGCGTTGCCACGCTCAGCGCCTTTGCTGTGAGTTGCGGATGCGGCAAAATGGGACCAGGAGCAGTGCGCGGAGGGACACTGTCTGGGCGAGCAGCCTTCTTGCGGCAACGGTGAAAATGAGCTTGAGCAGCTACACCTCCGTCGAACCGCTGTCACGCGCCCTGCTACAATGGCTTGAGTGACCCTGTGCAGCCGCAGGCTGGGGCAAGGCCTAACTGGTGGCCGTGGCTGAGCGCTTACTTCGCTATCTTGCCTTTGTCCTTCGTTGCCGCGCGCAACTGGCCCGGCGCCGCGCGTGTAATGAGGCTGCGGCCTTTCCCCGGCTCATAATGATCGGGATCTATCAGCATGAGCGGTGCTTTAGCCAGCAAGTGGAGGTGGCGGTGACGTTTGCAGAGCCCTTGGGCTTGGCGGCTATGCCAGCTTGTGGCACTTGCGGAACTCCCAGCCTTACGTAGCAGTTGCACACACACGCAGTCTGCAGTTGTTTGTGCGAGGCCAGGCCAGACGCATTCAGACACGCGCAGTCTCGGGTCTGCGTGTTTGTGCGCATGCTACTTTTCTTTGGCTCGCAAACGATTGACATTGAACGCGGAATCTTTGCTCAAGACCAGGCGCGGCCTTGGGGGGGCTATGTGGCTAGAAGAATCACAGGAAGAGAAGGAAGCGGAGTTTGCGCGTAGTATATGTATATATATATATATTACACACAGATGCTGTTTCTTTTATGTGGTCACCCGTCCATGATCCACACATTCAAGGACACAGCCGAAACACTGCGCAGTGTGCTCTTGCAGATCGAGAGAGCGGGTTTCGGAATATGCGAGCCAACTAAACGCTGAAGATGCGCGGCGCTTTCCCTCGCATAGTAAGACGTCCCTCCTTGACAATGTTTTACTGCTAAGGCCCCCCCAGCTTGGCATTGTCGGACCCGGCTATGCGCTTTTTAGTGCTGGCCAGAACTTTAACACAGGGGGAAGGTCGCAAGAATTTCCGACCAGGAGAGAGCGGCTTGGAGCTTGGTAAGTCACCGGCTTAGAACTGATTGAGTTGGCTAGTTTCGGTCGCGAGTTCGCCCTGTCTTTCTCTTTCGCATCTGTCTGCCGAACCCCTTCATTTTTGGCGTTGCTTTGCCGGAGAGGCTGCCTTGCGTTGCAGATGCGGCACAGGCGGCGCTCACTTGGCCCTTGATTTCTCGGCGGTTCTCATGGCCAATGTCTGGCGGACTTCATTGTTTGTCTTTTTTCTGGCGCTCTGTGCCTTGTTATTTGAGTGACAAGGGGTCGCCGGCAGTGTGTCGGGGGGGTGGCTTCTAAGCGAAGAACTTTGCCCTAGACTGACTGCTTTCTTAACTTCTGCAAGGAGTTTGCGCGCTGCTGCCTGGCTTTGGCTTAATGACGGGGGGTGGGTGGGGTTGTAGTGTTGCGACTAAGTACAGGAGACTGTTTCAAAATGATTCTGACCATCCTAAGCAGAGATAACACGTAGAGGATGATAGCCACTGTCGGGCTTGCCCTGTTTGTTCAGGGTTGCTCAGATATCACCCACCTGCCATTGACACCCTACGATCTGAAACCCAAGCAGCGAAGAAGATGGTGTGAAAGGACGTCCTTTTCAACTGAGCTCTGTTGAACTGGTCTGCCATGATCCATCCCCGGTTGCGCGTGGGGGTGCTTCAGGCCTCTCTTCAGGATAAGGTCTCCGTTGTTTTGCTTTGCCTTCTCTTGCTTTCCTTAATTCTTGATCTGGCTGCTTGCTTGGCTTGCGATTGCTTGGCGCCTTTTGCTTGTCACGCTTGCCTGGTGTGCGTTTGCCACGCTCGCTGCCCTTGCCATGCTGGGCTCGCTTGCTTGCCTTGCTTGTTCGTCCATTGCTCGCTGCGCTGTCATTGCCGCCTGGCTTGCTCGCTGTCATTGCCGCTTCCCTTGCTTGCGCACCTGTCGCTTGCGCGCTCTTACTTCCTTACTGACAGGGGGCAAGGATGTGCGGGCAGCCAGGTTAACAAGGACCCTAGCCTGGATTGCCCGTTGGACGGCCTAACTCTGTATGAGCTGGAGCACTGTGTACTTCGACTAAGCGACAGTGTCCGCGAAGGCTCGAGCGAACGTCGCGCCACAGAATCTCGCATGAGCTTGCAGCGCAGGGCGAGCGTGCCTTTCCCTGCTGTGAAGACCTTGCATTGGGGTGGGCGGAATTCCTTGCAAAAAGCCAGGCCTTCGTAAAACCCTTGGCGCCCTTCCTGTTGAAGGCAGTGTTGGGCCCTGGAATGCTGGAGTTTCCCCGACCTTTTATTTTCATGGGACACCTGGTTTGCAAATCCTGGAGCGCTGCTGCGTTATTGTCTGGGCGCGGAGCTTTGAAACAACCCGGGCCCTTGTTGCAGATCGCGGACGCAAACAGGAAGGTGCCCAAGAACCAGATCTTCAAGGTGTGGATCCAGGGGTCGTTCGTCAGACTGCCCCGGAGTCTTCCGTTAAGTACGACTTGCTGCTGAGTCTAAGGGGTTTGCCACAGTGATGACCTTGAAGGGGATGCTGGCAAACAAGCAGGCAAAGAATCAGGCGCGTGAAGCACATGGCTGTACGGCCTCTCCGACAGGTTCGCCGCCTGCTCCGCTCACTCAAGAAATGAACCAGCTGCAGCGCGGCGCCAATTTGTTGTGTGGTTGCCCCTGTTTGTTTCCTTTCTTTCCTTGCCAGTGCAATGCGGGCTGTTGAGTGCTTGGCTTGTGCAACTTCGGGTACTTGGCGCCAGGCGACACAGGGGTCCTTGAAGTGTCACGGGCTTGCTTGTCGATTCCACACTTCACCTTTCTGTTGGCCCTTTGACCGTCAAGGTTGAGGAGAAGAAGCTCAAAGATGGCAGCCGCCAAGGCGCTGTCTCCTTGAAGCAGCTGGTTTTGCAAGTATCGCACTTCCAATGTAGACAGTGGCTTGTTTCTTTTTCAAGCAAGCGTGTGCATGTTTGTTGACAGCAGAGAGGCTAAGCGGCAAGCCCCAGACCTACGGAGCGCTCAGGGCTCTTGAGAGCTTTGCGATCAGCAAGTGCTTTTGCTTTTTCGAGCGTTGTTGTGAACCAATGTGACTGCATCAGCTTTGACCACCAGCAAACAAGTTGAAAGTCAGTTTGAGCTCGGGCGCCTTTGATATGTGGCCTCAGCTTTACACCTGTGCAAGGTTGCCTGCCCCTTGCTTCTTCCGCGTGTTGGAAACCAAGCGCTTCGAATACCAGAGCTCAGGCAGCTTGCGCTGGGCCAGGGTGCTGTGCAACGTGGGTTGTTGAAGACCTTTGGATCAAGCCTGGTCCATGTGGGGAGTGCCTTTTTTCCCGTTGCTTGCGCTGCTGTTCAGCGCTGCGAGATTGCTGCGTCAGCTCTACACACATGAGACACCGATTGCAAGGCGGGCTTGCAGCCAGCTACCAATGGTAATCGTGTGTTTGAAGAAAGCGAAGCTGACAAATGTGGCTTGACCTGAGGCAGTGAGCCAGCGTGCTCATTGACATAGACCGTGCGGACGCATATGTCGTGTCCGAACATGTGCTTGTTTCGCCGGCGATGCTCGTCATGGGAGGGACCTGACCAGTTGACAGCGCTGTCGCTATGACGCTTGATTGTAAAGGAACGCTGCGTTTTGCCCACATGCTACGAATTGCCCCTCCCCCCCCCACACCCAAGTGTCGCGCCCCAAGTGCAAACCAGGGGGCAGGCGCGGGCTGGCGCACTGCGCCAGCCTGCTGAAGCAAGCTGCCTTGCCCCCATTCGCAACAGATGCCCCTAGGCAAAATGATTTCCAAAGTTGGGCACGGACTATTGCTTAGGGTATCATCTTGGGACATATGTGAGGACTTCGGGCTCCAACTTATAAGGGTTTGGGGACATGTCGAGAATTTAAATCTCGAGATTCTAGACTTGCCATCCCCAAAGGGCAGTAAAACCAGGGTCGATGGGGGTGGGGTTGCATACATATATGTATATATATATTTATATATATATATATATATTTATATATATATATATACACAAAACGCACACATTTTATATACACATGTCATACACACTTGTGGATTTTAGATTCAGCTTTCGGGTTGACGGAAAGTAGTTCACTGATTATGAAAATGCCTTGATCAAACATTCCACGCGCATTGCAAGCCAGCTGGCGTGTAGTGCGCAGGCATGGCAGGAGGTGACATCAAATATGATTCTGATCATCTACAAGGTCAATGCGAGACTTGATCGCAGCAAAGGTAGAGCTGATGATTTGGCGCGCGTTTGTGGCCGCGTGTTTTTCCACTTTGTTCTTTTTTGCGAGGACACCTTTGTGTATTGGCAATCAAAGGCTGGTGCGCATGCTTAGTGTTCACATTGACCGTGGAAAACTGGCAGAACGACGGCGATGGCAAAGAGAAGCAGTTGGGCAGCCTGCTCGAGGCCTCGGAGGGCGACACGACAGACTGGCTGGTTGCCGTTTTGTGGGCCTGGCAGGTAGATGCGTTCACGCATCTCTCGCACAAGGCAATGCTTGTGCATCCCCTGATTGGAGTCATGGCGTGTGCTTGTCAGGCTGGGCACCCTTGCGAATTTACAAGTTTGGGCAGCAGGAGCATCCGTCCAGATCTCAGTTTGAAGCTATCGGCTTGCTTATTTTGTTTTGTAATGCTGTCTCGGATCGAGGCGCACTGCGAAAATCACCATTCCTATTCGCCCGCAAGGCGAGCCTGTGCAGCTTTTTTGGCAGTTTTGCAGGGAATTTCTGCATGCTTGTGGAGTCTACGCACGCACAGCAGAGGTCATGCCGCAGTGCACTGTGAGTGGCCAACATCGCGGCAAGCAGTCTGAAACTTACTTTACAGGCACAGTGTGTCGGCAAGCAGGAATGATGCGTACCACAAAGTGCAAGAATTTGCCAGAAGGAAAAAACGTTTCAAGGGCTTTGCCCTACGCCAGCCGCGCTCGCGAAGCCAAAATGCTTGCTTTCTGACATCTTTTCGTGCCGGAATGCGCGGGAGCGCCTGCGCAGTGCGCACGAGTTCACCGGGCGCGGCAGGGACACGAGCAGCCCCAGACCAGCACCATCTTCCTCGACATCTCCTGCACCCGCAGATCTCAAATTCATCCAGTTTACTTCAGCACCAGCATCAGCATACTGTTTGCAAATGATCACTGTCCAAAAGCTATTTGCAGTACTCACGTGCACTAGCGCATGGGGTTTCACATCAGGCTTGTAGCTAAAAATGTGTGTTTATCCACTATACCCAATGCCCGCAAGCGCAGCCATTGTGCCTGTGCCCAACTTGAGCAACCAACGCCATTTCCAGCCAGCCAAAAGGGCAGCATGATGGCCGAGAAGCGCGCCTGACCGTCCGTAAGCATCCAGTGTCAATCCATTCCCCATGTTCCACCATCCACTACGCTCTACTATCCATCACACTCCTCTATCTATCGCAACATTCAAATCCTATGCCAGGCCCAACCTACGGCACTGGTAAAGAGCGCGAGCGATGCACAGTCATTTCAAAGCTATTCGACTTGGCAAGGGAAGGCTGTGCAGGGCAATATGTGCACAAAAGGACATTGATTCCTTGATTGCTTGCTGGCTAGACAACGTGGCACTTTAGGTGGCAACAAATACATACACTGCCAATGACAGGCTTTTTATTGCTTGAGGAGGCATAGTCTTTTGCCCCGTCACTGTCCCACTGCAAACTTGGCGATGCTGTTTTGCCGGATGCCTGCTGCTCACCTGCGCGAACAAGTTCACCTACTCAAAATGGTCACGCCACACATGCAGCAATGCCGCTACAGTCATGATTGAAACCATTGGAATGACAATGTTGGCTTATTGTTTATGATCTCAATCACTGGAGTATCCAGTCGCAACAACATGCGGCCGGCAGCAGTCGTGGTGTTGCCAGTCAAGCAAATTGCTCCGCAAGAGGTAGCAGGCAGAATTTCTTTGCTTTTGCAGACATCCTCTAAAACATTGCGTTGTACTGCCAGCTGTGGCTCATCTTCCAATGGCCATACTGCAACGACGTCAACAAGTGGATGCTGCCAACCCAAGACATAGTATCTAGCAAAGGGATGGTGCAAAAGTCTGTCAACTCGTTGTTGCGTGCACCAACCATTTTGACTACAGTTTATGTGGAGGGAACACTCTTGTGCTGAAGCATGGGCTGCCGCCACGGGTTGTAAACACAGACGCACAGAATTTGGCAACAGGCTGAATTGCTAAATTACACGAATATGATGCCGCCGCGTCAAACTAGTCATGGAGGTGGACTTTCAGACAATCAGAAATTACACGAAATTCTTGGCAATGATTCTCATGGATCCATTCCTGCCCAAACAACATGCCAGCGCCAGTGCTGGCCAAACCAGGTTTCGGGATCTCGCCGACGCCTTCGACACACTTGTCTTTTCGGACGAACATCTAGATGACGAGGACATTGAAGAGCATCACGTGCTAGTGAGTTTTACTTTGCTTGAGGCTCGTGCACCAGGAAAAGCACATGCATGCAAACTGTCAAAGCAAACTGGAAGGATGACAGCCAGCTATCTCTTCTAGCTGAGCAGCGTGCTCCAGCCTCAAGTGCTTCTCAATCCAAATGTGTTGATACTAGTGCAGGACAGCGGTCCAATAATGAAAATTGCCAAGGCTCATGATGAAGAGAGGTGGCTGGCGCAATCTTTTTTCAGTACCTTCTGGTAGACTGAGGCCTGTTTGTAGTACCAAGCTGCGAAAATTATCTAAATCCTTTTCCAGAAGTCACATCAATAGCTACATGTTAGCTCCACAGATGCATGTTGCCTTCTTTGTTTGGTTGCCGTGATGTGGCACAAGCACAGACGCCACGATGGCTTGAGTTTCTTGTTCAGTTTCACCGCTAGACAGTCAGTCCATTTCGGTTGTCGGCTTGGCGCTGAACGACTTGCTTACAAGGCACCAGATCTCCATGCAGCCTTGGAGACACCCGACACAAATACAAACAACCGCTTGAATGCCGCTTCTGGCTCGTGCAGAAAGAAGCATATCCGGAATTGACAGAACCCAACAGCTCGGTGACCTGTAAGCAACACCTCGAGGATGGCTCTTTCAGGGACTCAAATAGAGGCATGCATGATGCTGCTTGTCCGTATTTGTGCTACACAGCCCTTGGTACTCGTAGGACAATTTTGCTAGTTGCTGTCTTGCAGCTATCTTGGCCAATGAGCGCCAATGGAGAGAGCAAGGTGCTGAGTCTACTTGCTATTGAGACACTTCGATGCGTATGAAGGTAGGTACAGCAATCCGCCAATTCTCCGATCTGAGGCGACTCCTCGCCCGAGGCCTGCAATTCAAGACCAACTTCCTGTTTTGTGATAGTCACCCTGTGGCACCAGTGGTACTAGTGGCACAAATGGTACCAGTGTGCTTGCTGAGCAGCTTTCAAATGAGGCATGAGGCAACCTTACAGATTGCAAGTTGCACAGACACATCAGTGACAGGTCACTGCAGCGCTGTCCAAACAGCTAGGTGCGCACTGCCAAAGGATGGATATTTTCAGTTCATGAACACGTAGCTGCAGGTGTGGACTCGGTCATCGTGGAGCGCATTTTTCGAGCAGGCGGGCGCGGCTCATGGGTCTGACATAAGCGAGTAAAGCTGAAGTTGAGCAGCCCTTGCCCACCAAATGATAACCGCGCCTCCCTCTAACTTCAGTCAACTTCAATGGATCGACTTCTCGGGTTTCTCAATGAGTTCTCCTGGACTATAGGAGACTTTCTCGTGCGATTGATTGCCAGATGCCGTGCCTTTACGCTGCAGGTGTGTGCCATGCAGAGACAGAAACAAAAAGACGACGGTTAAGCACGGCCCTTAGAGGTTAGTCATATCGTCAACTGGCAAGCAGAGGATTGAACGTGTTCAGGTGTGCAACCGGCAGAAGAAAGGCCAGGTTCAAATTTGAACGCATGATTCTTGCAGCTTTCGTGACGTGATTAGGTCTGCTGCCGAGGCACATTGCTCCGGCACTTGCTTGTGGCACAAGCAGCAATATCCTGTGGAGGCTTCGCCTGTGTTTAGTGGAGGCCAGACGGTGCAAGTGCGCTCCTCGCAAGCCAGCATGCCTCAAGAGCGCAGCAACTCTTCCACTTTGCAGACTTTCCCTTGCAGGTAACCCCTTGCAAGTGAGCCCTTGCAGGTGAACCCTTGCAGGTGACGCTTGCAATTCTTGCGAAAGTATTTGGAAGCATTCACATTACATTTGACGGGTGCATGATATCTTCTTTTTTTTTTCACCTGAATAATGAATCGGTTCTTCAAAATCACTGCTATGGTAGTCTGACAGAGCGGGTTGCATAATTTCATTTGCATTCACCTTTGAGGAGGCTTTTCTGGGCTGCTGCTGGAACTTCTAGTGAGCGTGCGCAACTCTTTCCGTAGCCTTGTATTGGCAGGAAAGAAGGGTCGTTTGAGCGTGCAATTGAAGGCAATGTTTTGTCGTTCTGTCACCAGATTTAGGCTGCAAGCCCCTTTGCTTATCTTAGATGAAACTTCCAGTGTGTTTTCCATTGTTGAGCTTGTCGAGAGGCATCTCCTTTGAGCAACTCCGCCGAGAACTGGCCGAGTTTGCCAAAGAACGTGATTGGGACTGTGCCTTGCGATTGATCAGCTGTTTCGTCGGACATGAAGTTGGCTTTCAAGCGCAGGACCAGTTCCACTCACCAAGGAATCTCGCCCTTGCGCTTGTTGGGGAGGCAGGACGTGTGCATTTCTCTTTCACTCGGTCACTGTGCGGTTGATAAACGCTGGAAGGAGAATTGGGCTCGCTGTGAGGATGGAACATGTTGTAGGTGGCAATCTCTGGCAATCTTACTCAATGGCCCGATTGATTTTGACAGGCCACGCATTTGCAGTTCCAGCGCCAGAGTGAAATGAAACACGTGCAAGGTGGGAGAGCTCTGCGAGTGCTTCCAGTGGAAGGGTGAGGCCGGCGACGCACACCGCTGTCCGCTGCATTCACCGCGTACGCGTTTCAAGGTTGCGGAGGGACTGCCTGGCTGGAGTGACAAGCACAAGACTGCTCTGCAGCAGGTGCAATGCGGGTTTGGATGCAGTTTTGGAAAGAGCGCACTGTCAAGAGGAGATGGCGGATGTACTGCTGTACCTGATACGCCTCAGCCACAAGGCTGTGGCTTGCTCACTGCGTCAAGGTGTGAGGTGAGACACACATATATATACACACACACACACACCCACAGCATATCTTGCGCCAGTGCCACATCGACCTTCCCAAAGTTGCACTGAACAAGCTGGCAGTCAACGAACCCTGCCAGCAATGGACCATTGGCTTTTTGGCACTTGTCAGCTTGATCATTTAAGGCGGCAAAATATCCAGCCAGCCTAGTTCGTGGCAGCAGCAGGACACATTTGCCTCAGCTGTACGGAACATGACGCTGCTCAGTGAGCATATTTGTGTCTTCGGTGCTTGCTTGCCAGGAAATACAATGAATATGACGTGCAGTCTCAGAGTCAGCAGGGGTCGCACTCTCAAACGGCAAGATCTGCATCAACTGTGCGTGCGTGCGTGCGTGCGTGCGTGCGTGCGTGCGTGGGTGGGTGGGTGGGTGTGGGTGTGGGTGTGGGTGTGGGTGTGGGTGTGGGTGTGGGTGTGGGTGTGGGTGTGGGTGTGTGTGTGTGTGTGTGTGTGTGTGTGTTTTTGGGTTGTTCAGCTTACCCCAAAGTGCCAACTCGACGTCGACAAACACCGATGCAGCAAATGTTCGGCTCAAACCTTCTGACATTTGGGGGCCATGAACGGGGCCAACACAGATGATCACAGATGATGGCCTGCCAAGTTCCGGACAGTCGCAATGGTTGCAGGACATGGGGGTGTTGTGTATTAACCCAGCAGGCTGAGGATACTTTTCACTGATTCAGCTCAGGAGCGTGGAAACCAACATCCACGACTGGTCACGACATGGCTCTCGCGTTGCTCAGCAGGAACACGATTCACGGAAGCATATCAAGCAATGTAAAGAGCCGAGTGTATGGGGGATAGGCATCAAAAAAAGACTTATTAGGAATCAAAAAACAACTTATTAGGGATCAAACAAAACTTATTAGGGATCAAACAGAAACTTCTTCTCATTCCTATGGGGAGAAGGAAGGAAGGAAGGAAGGAAGGAAGGAAGGAAGGAAGGAAGGAAGGAAGGAAGGAAGGAAGGACGGACGGACGGACGGAAGTAAGGAAGGAAGGAAGGAATGAAGGAAGGAAGGAAGGAAGGAAGGACGGAAGTAAGGAAGGAAGGAAGGAAGAAAGGAAGGAAGGAAGCCACCCCCCCAACCACCCTGCTGATTTGTAGAATGTTTACAGAGATTAACGCACCCTTGCTGAATCATCACTTCTTCGATCATCATCAGCCTTTGTTGAAACATCACTTCTTCGAACATCATATGGGGGGGGCCCCCCCCAAACCCCCTGCACTTCTTCGATCACCACGGGGGGGGGGTGCCGCCCCGCTACCCCCCGCTGATTTTCGGAATGTTTACAGAGATTAACGCACCCTGTGCTGAGTCATCACTTCTTCGAACATCATGCGGGGGGGGGTGCAGCCCCCCCCCCAAACCCCCCTGCTGGTTTGTCGAATGTTTGCAGAGATTAACGCACTCTTTGCTGAAGCGTCACTTCTTCGATCATCATCAGCCTTTGTTGAATCATCGCTTCTTCAAACATCATGGGGGGCTGTCTGTACCGCGCCTTGCGAAAGTCCTGCACCTGCCATGAAATCTGTACCTGCCTTGCGAAAGCACTGCGCCTGCCACGAAATCTGTACCTGACCTCGCGAAAGTGCTGCGCCTGGCGCGAAATCTGTACCGTACCTTGCGAAAGCGCTGCGCCTGCCGCGAATCTGTACCTGACCTTGCAAAAGTGCTGCGCCTGCTGCGAAATCTGTACCCGACCTTGCGAAAGTAACGCGCCTGCCACGAAACCTGTACCTGCCCTTGCGAAAGTGCTGCGCTTGGCGCGAAATCTGTACCGTACCTTGCGAAAGTGCTGCGCCTGCCCCGAAATCTATACCGTACCGCGAAAGTACTGCGCCTGCCGCGAAACCTACACCGTACCTTGCGAAAGTGCTGCACCTCCTGCGAAATGTGGTCCTGACCTTGCGAAAGAACTGTGCCTGCCGCGAAATCGGTACCTGACCTTGCGAAAGTGCTGCACCTGCCGCGAAATCTATGCTGGACCTTGCGAAAGTACCGCGCCTGCCACGAAATATGTACCTGACCTTGCGGAAGTACTGTGCCTGCCGCAAAATCTGTACCTGACCTTGCGAAAGTGCTGCGCCTGCCGCGAAATCTGTACCGCACCTTGCGAAAGTGCTGCGCCTGCCGCGAAATCTGCACCTGACCATTGCGAAAGTGCTGTGCCTGCCATGAAATGCACCTGACCTTGCGAAAGTGCCGTGCCTGCCACAAAGCCTGTACCTGACCTTGCGAAAGTGCTGCGCATGCCACGAAATGAAGAATTTGTTTTTGATCCCTAATAAGTATTTTTTGATCCTCTGAGTTTTTTTAGTAGGAAATCTAAGAGAGGAAGTTTTTTTGATCCCTAATAAGTTTTGTTTTTTGATCTTCAGGAATGAGTTTGTTTGATGCCTAAACAGTTTTTTTAAATCCCTCACCCAGTGTATGGCTGAGGTTTGGCGCGCAGCTCGCCAGAGCTTGCGCTTCAAGTGCTCGACAAGCTCTGGGCTTTGCGAATGGAGGCGACCGTATGGCAGCGAGACCAATCGCAGCTTGCGCTTCTTGAGGTCAACGTCTTTCATCTCAATGCAGTGACTGGACAGCGGTTTTGATAGCACAGAGGCTCCACTTTCAGACTGGTGTGAGACTTGGTTTTGTCGAGGTGTGCGCGGGGGGTGCTAGAAGCTGGCACTGGCCAACGGTGCTTTTTGCCAAGATGGCAGATGCTCAGCCACATACCGTTGCCGCTTCCAAGTCTGGTTGCACCGGAAGTTGGACTTTGGGTGCCTGTCAGCCTCTGCGTATCAGGACATGGCGGTTGAAGCAGATACGGTAAGCTTCGCGGCATGCACTCAGCACTCAGCACTCAGCATTCCCATTTCTGTTTATCAGTTGGTACCATCCTTGGATGTGTGGAGCGACGGAACCATTTGCTGCAGAATGCCAGAGCAAAAGCGTGCAGCCCTGGTTGGTTGACCTGAATCACCCCCGCGCTCCGAGGTTTCAACAGCGCAATTGTGGCATTCAAGAGGTGTACGCTCTGGCTGCAAGCCCTCTCTTGGTTTGGCTCTGTGCGTGCAACTTGCCGGCAAACAAGGCTTTGGATCGACAACGGCTTGTCGACAGTTTGCTCCTGCGTTTTTGTTTTTTTGGCCTGAGCAATGGGTAACATCAACATCCTTGCCCAGCCTCTTGCTTTCAGCTCCCGATTTTGGGTTTGAGGCTGTCGGAGCTTGGCCAGATGAGACCAGCTATTCTGCAGCTATCACTGCTTGTGAGACCAACCTCATGTGGAGGCGTTGCATTGCTACCATGCCCGTTTGCCTTGCTCTATCATGTTGTGTTATCAGCATTGGCAGTTGCAGGCTGTCAGTCGCATTGCTGTCCGAACTTTCTCAAAGCCTTGCTCCCAACGCAATATGTTGGAGTGCTGAAATAAGCCTCGCCGCGCAACTTGCATGCAGCGAGATGTAAATGCAGCCACTTGACAAGTGTCTCAGCATGAGAGGGTGGACAGGCTGTGCCTGTCAACTGGAGATCAGGACGTGTGCCAAATGGGTTCTTGTCGATGGCTCAGTCAAGTCTCCAACTCGTTCGTTGAGTCTCTGTCAGACTCAGGCAACATCATGCCTCAGACGAATGGGAGACAGCTTCGTCAGGCCTGACAAGTTCAGCCTGAGCGCTTCCATATCTGCTTGTGGGAGACTCAGTCGCAACAGGGATCTTGGCAGTGCGAAGACTGTCTGACATCTAGCAGGTGCACGCACTTGAGAGTTCAGGAAATGTTTCCTCTGGCAGTTTGGGATCATTCATTTCGCTGCCATCTCTGCAGCCTCTGAATCTCCTGATGCCGCTTGACCCCACTTCGAAAGGTGCCATGCCAAAGCGCAAGTCTGCTGTTTCTGGCTGCTGTGCTTTGCATCATCGATGGCGTAAGTTGCTTCTTGAAGGAAAGTGTTCAGCTCAGGTTGTGGCGTGCAATTCTGCTATCAAGGCATGTGGAGAAGCTGGCGGCTGGCCAATGGCGATAGCATTCACAGGCTTAATCAGACGAAGCCGGACCAGCTTGTCGCTTGCAGTGCAAGAAGAGCAACCTTTGCAAGCAGGTTGAGAAATGCTTGTTTGCTCTTTTGCCTTGTACTGTGCTGGCCAGCCTGTTGCACTGATGAGGGATCAGATTGGTGTGACGTCTATGCTTGACTCACTGAAATCATCAGATGACCGCCATTTGTGGGAGCAGGCTCTATGCTTGCAGAATCTTGGATGCTTGATGTATGTGTGCGGCCGGAAAATCTTACGTTTGATTTGAAAATTTTGTTGTCCATACCCAAGGATGACAGTCACGCGGACAAGGTTGAGAACAGATCAGGTGTCCTGCAGTGCCCAGCACTCGGATGCGATTTCAACGAAGCGTTTGGCAGGAGCAAGCCACCAAATGCAAACACGTGTTGTGCAAACAAACACTCCTTGTTCACGCTGCATCAAGTAAAACAAGGCACTTATGCAACAGTGCTCCAAGTGTGCAGCCTGGCAGCAGTCCACATACCTTTTCTGCAGCTCAGCTGCAGCGTCCGTCACGACTTTCTGGAAAATCATCAAACAAAACGCGGCAAAACATCATGCTGGAGTGGCCTCAAGGCGACATGCAGCGCTCCAAGATTTCGGTGGACGAAACCTGTTGCCAGGAGTGCACTTAAGCATATTTCCGTCATGCTGACTCTGCGCAGTTCTGTGATGTGTTGCTTGTGTTCTTGAAATGTCAGTCCCAGGCTATGGCACGTTTGTCACCATAGCTGCGTGACCTGCCTTAATTTCTAGAAGACGCACGACTCTCTAGAAACAGAAACGAAGGCGAGGCCCGCATGTGTTTTCGGTTTTAAGCCTTTGTGTGCAAATCAATAAGTAGAACAGCCCTAAACAAAGGGCGATGTGTATGCGTGCGCATGTGAGGATGTTTATGTTGTGTCATGCGTGGCATGCAGCCCACTGTATACTGCTCGTTTGCAGGGCGCTGTCTAAGGAAAGGAAAAGAGTGGCGGATGTGTCTTTCTGCTGTCAATCAACATGATCCGAAGCTAAGCTAGCTTGAAGATGCCTGTGCATTGAATGTAGAGCTACTTGTGCGCAGGTTGGATCCGTGTGTTCTGTGTTCCTCCTTCACAGCCATATCAGGCGTTGTGCCACAATCCTGCGGGGATCTTCAAAATCGCGCCATTCGGGTAGCTGGTAACCAAGCTTGATTCAAAAGCTTAGACAGAAGACTGATGAAGCCAAGGACAATGCCTTCATTTGAATGCATGCCATGCAACTGCTCTCTCCTGCTCAAAAGCGGGGAGCTGGTGGGCGGGGCTGCTTCACAGCTGCAAAGAGCTGGGTGAGGTTTACTGATTGAAGTTGAGTGACTTGCCAAGCTTGCTGGACGCTCCGCTCCGGGCGTAGGCACGTGCTGAACTCCGTGGGCCCGTGCGGATTGCGCTTGGATTGCATGAGCCCCTTGACTCGCAAGCGGGCGGCGTAGCGCCGACCGACTGTCCGACTCGGATCTTTCTCGAGGTCGGAGTGGCGCCGTGGTGTGTATGGAGAGAGGATCCAAGTGGGACTTGGGGCTTTCCTTGAGCTCGGCCTGCATTGGAAAAGAGGTCAGGTATGTGAAGGGTATATTATATATATATATATATTGATGGTTATTTATATAGCGTAATTAGCACTTTCGATGCCTTGATTTGTTGGCTACCGAACCCATGCCTCAGGACACGTGAGAAAGGAGGCTGGGATGGTGAGGGTCTGGTGGCCGCAGCTGCAGTTGCTTCGGCGATGCTTGGCGTTCGTGGCCGTCCTCGTGTTGTTTTCCCTGTAGTGGCTGCACCAACTGCTTTGCAAGCCAAGGAGCGTGAGCAGATGGGGTACTGCATTTGCTATTCTGGAGTCTAACCATCATTTGGCCGCCAAGATCGACATCATAGCCTTGAACACGGTGCTCAAGACCTGTGCGGCTAAGCTTGGCAAGTGGCCGGCAGCTGTAGCCTGCGTGCAGAGTTTCCACACCAAGCGATGCAGTCCTCATGTCTCAAGCATCGCTGCCTGCGAAGCCCAACTCTGGGCTGCGGCACTCAGCGATTGCTTCGGAGCCTTGGAGCAAACTGCGATGTGCGGCCATGTTCATCCTGGAGGCCTCATTGGCAGGGATTGAAATCTAAGAATCTAAGCGTGGAGTCTCTGAATCCCCCAGTCTGATGAGACGTTGGAACTGAACAGCCATGTGGAATTTGTGACCGAGATGCTGTCCGAGGACAGAGACTTGCTGGCCGAGCTGAAGTTGCAGCAGAGAAGGTGGCTAAAACATTAGCTGAAACCTCGCAATGGTCCATCAGCATCCAGATATTTAAAGGTCTGAATTCTCGAGCTGAGAGGTCGCCTTCTCTTGCTTGTCTGGTCTACAGCATTGCTGGCCGCTGGCAAAAGGCGATAAGCGCAGCAAGCATGCTGAGCATCAGCAATGAGACTTCGGCCAGAGTGAGTTGCAATACCTGCATCAGCGCCTGCGGCAAGGCGCGGCGCAGGTTCTGGAAGCGGAAGCCTTATCCAATGGATGGCTTTGTAATGGGATGCGGTGCTGGGTGGCATAAACAGTTGAAGCGCTTCGAACTTGTGCTGTACTTTGGCAGGCAGAAGAATGGCTTCAAGCTGTGGCTGCTTTGCAAGCACTGCGATCGGGACGCATGGAAATGGACATCGTCAGTGTCAATGCTGGTATTAATGCCTGCAGAATAGGTGTCTTGGCGAAGATACAGCACGGAAAGCGCCTTTTTGTGCTTTGTCTTGGAGACTGGCATTGCACAAGGTGGATGCTGGCAGGGCAGCATATTTTTTCTCGCCGCCTTATCGCATTCGGGCTTGGTGGCGGACCCTTCTGCGCACTTTCCGTGCGTCCTGCAAGTGGTGCACTGACTCGCGCAGGACACTTTCACTCCGACAGCCACAATCGGCTCTGTCGCAGCGGTTGGAAAGTGGGAGCAAGGCCTCGTGTCGATGGAGAGGACTACCAACAGTGGCCTGAACCCATGTGTTGGCTGAATTCATGGCACCTTTTCTTCGTCTTTTCCACGGAAGTAAGGACCAGAGGTTCCTGCATATGTTGAAAGCATAATGTTTGGCAGCGAATTGGTTGTGCTGGTCTGTCGTATTCACAGCAAGTCGTCATTTCACTGCTATGTGACTGTCACGGCTTTGCTTGAGACATCGCTGTGGCTATGGCTATGACTTCTGCTGTAAAGTTTTGCTTGGGGAGCTTTGCAGGATGAAGCAAGTGTGGCAGAGTGCCACTGCACTTGGCGCCACAATCAGCGGCTGTGCCTCTGCTGTGCAGTGGGCAAAAGCTTTGAACCTTTGCTCCTTGATTGCATCGATTGCGTTTGATTGCAAGACTGCTGCTTTTCGTCTCCCTCTCATCTCATGGAGGCCGATGGCAAGAGGGCAATCTGGCTAGCTACAGTGCGGCCATGAGCGCTTGCGAAAAGAATGGGCTGTGGCAAAAGTCCTTGTCACTCTTGCAACGAGGCTTGGCTGCAAAAACTCGAGCTTGCGAGCTGCCGATGGGGCACAGCAAAGGCATCTCTGATGTGGCCCTGTGCGCAGATCTCATTGCATTTGACGCGGCGGTGGCTGTTTTCGCAAAAGCAGAGCAGTCGCCGCTATGATTGAAAAGTGCCAATGCAGCGTAAGCGTGCACGCATTGAGAGGTAGCGCACCCTTCTGGACCCAGCAAAGCTGTTTTGGGTATCCGTGGATCCAAGGTTTTCATTACATTGACCAGACCACAGCATTGGCTTCCAGTGACACATGTGCTCGCCAGAAGCGGAAAAATTGAACAGGCCTGGAAAGCAAAAGCTGATTCCTGCATTTGCCGTACGTGATCGTGCCAGCTGCCAGTGCCTTACATGGCCATGCTGTTGTTCGACATCGGAGCTTTTCCCAGAGCTCTTCCTGGCCCGCGGACAAGGTCTTTGTATATTCAGCTTGAAGACTGGTGAGTACAGCAACAAAATTGATCTCCGAGACACCGTCCTGACGGAACCGCAACATGGAAGATGACTTGCACCAACGTCCTCTACCAGAGTCTAGATTCACAAGGTGCACAGATGGATGGGTAGCTGAGGACAGAATATTCATGGCAGCTCCCGTTGCTACTGTTTTTCAGACCGACTGGGCGGAACTCTGACTTCATGACTTTAGGATACTCTAGGCCTGAGTTTTGCCTGGGGCAATGCCCTTGTATGCAGGGCTGAATTGCTCAGTCTACAATTGAGGCTTGCACGCTCTGGCTGCGGCTGCAGGACCACATTGACATGCGAGCGTTGCATGTTCTCAAGGGCCGCACAGCAGCCAGCTTTGGCGGGTTCCGCTTGCAGTCAGTGTTGAGCTGGACATTTCAGGGACACGTTTTTGCATGCAACGCTACGCAACGCTGTCGAAAAGAAGGCGCTTTTACCTCTCGGCTGTTTGCAATGCTGAGCATGGCTGCTGTCATTGCTGTTCAGCGCTCTCATGCCAGCTTGACCTTGCACAAGCCACGTGCCGCGTGTTGCATTTTTGTGTCCAAGGCAGAGCCATGAGAAGCCAAGCAGTTGATCCGAGCGTGGTGATGCGGAAGGAAAAGTTTCCCGGACTTGACTTGCTCTTGCTTGCCAAACAGGCCAAGGTGGGCAGTGCGGTCTGTTCACTACGGCTTAAGGCTTGGGCCCGCCTTTGGCACGTGAGAAGCTACGCCAGTCAGGATGTTCACAAATGGCTTGGCATGCTTGGCCATTTGTTAATCACGGTTTGTCATGTCTTTGAGTCAGTCCATAGGCCCCCGGCTGCGCTTGCCTCCTAATTTCACAGCCTGGTTTGCTCATCCTGCACCCGTGTACATGCCATGGTTTCTGCAAGTACGCTTGTGGCCCAGTGTAATGCTTTTCTGCGTGTATCCTTTCCGACCATGCGTCCCTTTATCCGCCCAGATCTGGAGAAGCCGCAGCTCAAGCTTTGCGGGCTCTGAGTTGCCGCCTCAGTGCAAGCTATAGTCATGTCAAGCTTGTGCCCGGATGTGGCATTGTTACTGAGAGATTCTTCAGCATCACTCAGGGCGAGCTGCCCAACTGCACACGGAGCGTAGAGCAGTGACTTGGCAAGCAAACTGTCCAGGAGCGAGATGACACCTGCAAAGTGGCCTCGAAGTGACATACTGTACTGCCGCTGTGGGACCCTGCACATGTCGCCAGGGCAGTTGCCCGCATGCATGATGCAAGGCATTTGAACAAGATGTTGGCCTACTTTTCTGATGGGAAATGTGTTCAAACACTGACAGCTGCCAGGCTGCATTTCCTCACAACACGCCACTTCCCAGATTCGCTGCTAATGATGGGCCTGGCGTAAAGCTGTGGCTCAAGCGTTTGGGAGGACGAAGCAGCCTCGAGACCAGTTTCCAAGATGGAATCTTCCTGGACGTTTTCGGCGAATTGTTCCGGCCACCCCCCCAACTCTCTGCAGTGGCACTGGTCACTGGGACCTCCCTGGATGTCTTGTGATTGCAAACCAGGCTATCAGGGGCGAATCTATTTGTACGAAGAGCGCACTTTTGGTGGCGTGTTTTACTTCTTTTGCTGTACCAACAACCTGGTACACGATACTTGCGAACTTCCAGCACGCCACCAGCTGCATTTCGATATTGCGAATAGTGTTGGCGTGGCCTCAGCAACTTTGGGTATGATCTGCATCCTGCTTTTGAGCTGGCTTCTTCGCATTCCACGAAAACACCTTCCGCTTCAACCCTGTGATGAGCAGATTTTGACTTCCGGCTGGGTTGGAAATGGGGCGGCGTTGCACGAATCAGTGCCGCTGCACAAGTGGTGCGTGACTCTGCAGGATCTGCGACAGTTCCGCCGACTAGTGATGCACGCAGTTGCCCAAGAAATGATTCTCCCGCATGAATTGGACATGTTCAGGAAGGACGATTTGACCATTGGGCCATCTGTCTACACAGTTACGGACCAATTCATCAAGCCTGTGACGAGATGGGCAGGAAAAATGAGCTGGGCCTTGCTCAAGAATCCTGAGGGTGTGCCTTGTGATGTCTTTGTGACTCATGCTTGGGCAGAAGGAATTTTTGAGTTTCTCGACCGGTTGGAACACTCTTGGCCTCGAGGGGCCAAGGGCGCATACGTGTGCTTCTTATCCAATCCTCAGAACCTCGACATCTCCAGCTTAATTGCGAGCCCTGTGGAATCTCCCTTCGCTAAAGCACTGCACAATGCCTCCAGCCTCTTGGTTTTACCCAACTACAAGCTCAGCATCTACACACGTCTCTGGTGCGTCTACGAGGCTTTCCTTGCGTACACATGGGACAAGGAGGTTAGAACCGCCAAGCTTCAGCGTCCAGGACTCTGGCTTCGCGTGCTACGGATGGCGTGTGTCTATATCGCGGCCGCGGGAGTTGGATTGGTTCTGACGATTCAGGGCCACGCTGAGCGTATCATGAAATTCGACGCCAATGGGCCGGTCTTTGCTGGTGAACTTGCTGCTGTGGCCTTTTTACTGGTCTGCATTCTCTTGACCTTTGCCTTGAGTCGAGTCACATTTTGTCAGCCCATGAAGCAGGCAGCCGCAATAGCCTGCAGCATTGTTATGAGCATGATGTTGGTGGTATTGGTGGTGTACAAAGACTTTCGCACCTGGGACCTGTGGATCATCTGCATGTTTATCTTTTGTGCCATTGAAGTTGACATTGTTATGCATGAAGATGCAACCATCCGCAGTGAGTTTTTGCAGAGAGATTTCAGCGGCAGGCTGCTCGAGGCCAAATGTTCATCTGATGCGGACAGGGACAACATCATTCAGGAATTGACACAAAGCGGGAGCTCGCAGCAGGTGGAAGAGGCCGTGAACATCTTGGTGCGCATGCATTACGTCACGCCGGAACTACGGCGCACTGCGAAAATGGCCGGCAGGTTGGGCGATGTGTCCCACTTCAGCTGGGTATTGCTTGTTTGTGGGCTCTATGCTTTGCTCGGACTCCCCTTGCGCTACTTGATCACTGATGATGTGCCATCAACTTTCGCTGTGGTTTTGCTTGTGGAAGGCTTGTTGTGGCTCATGCTGTTTCTCTGCTCGCCACAGGACCGGAAGACTTTTGCCGCATCTCTGATGCGATTGTGGTTACTTGTCTTGTTTCTTTACTGGTGGGATGAATATTCATCGCTATACCTTACAAGCACCCGGGAGGATTGGCTTCCTCTTGCAGGTGCCCTGGTGCTTGGTCCAGCGTGCCTGGCTCTGGCACTGGCTGGCCCATTCCGTGTGGCTCGTATTCCCTTTGTAGGGCCTTTGATTGTCCAGCTCTTGCTTGGGCAGTTTCATTGCGCACGAGCTCAGCGTGCAGACCGTGCAGACCGTGCAGAAGGTACACACACAGCAGTTGAATCGGTCGAGAATCCAGATGCTGTCACGATGCAGGTTTCGGAGGAGCTTGAAGGCCAAGACGAGTATGTGTCGGTTGTATTCTGAGCAGGCCGTTGCCAAAGGCATCTTGCCAGCCGCAAAGATAATTCTTGCAACCGGCAAAAACAAAGCTGCCCTTGTATTTTAGGTGGAAATCCATACAGCACGCCGTATGATCTATTGCATCAGACCATGTCATGAGTCACATTTAGCTTTTGCGGCATTGTACCACTGAGGTGCACTTGCCTAGGTTCGAGCACACACACGCACATGTCTCGCCGCAGGAAAATCCTTCACAGCCAAAGGACAAATCTGGTGAGGGCAGAATGAACCAAAGCCAACTGTGCTGAACAAGTTGGGACGTCCAAGTTCATCCAAGACCTTCCGCTTGTATAGGCGCAGGCCGCTGTGACAGCCTATCAAAAAACGACATTTGAAATGAATGCATCCAGTGCATCCAGGTGGGATCCATTTGTTACACAAAGCTCAGGCGACCTCCAAGCCCGGGAAGCCCGTGGCGCAGAATGCGCGTCGAGGCCGGGGCCAGCGGACGTGTGAAGGGCTCGGGGGCAGCTCTTGAAGCCCAGGTCGCGGGATGGGCTCGGATGCAACGCAGCTTTCGCAGCGACGAGCTCAGCGGGATATTGACAAGCCGTCTGAGTTGAGGTCACGGGGAAGGCTTGTAGACGACTTTGCTTGATTCAAGGCCAGCAACTCAACAGTCTCAAATGGGGCATGGCGCCCAGAAAGATGATGCATGGGCTGGCACTGCTGTTGGTTTTGCCAACACAAACCTTGACGAGGTTTTCACAGGCGGATACTGTGCCGGGAGACCAGCCAGAGTCTCAAGCATTGCCATCCCCGCCCTCAAAGACGTTGGTCTGTCAGGTGTTGCTCACAGCGTGATGATCGTGATGCGCTGGCATCCTTGTCAACGACACATCCTCAGATTGCGGGTGTGCTTGTGCAAGTATAAAATGCTACCCCCCTAAAATACTCACAATCACATTCATACTAGGAAGATGCACGTATTTTGCACTTTTTCCTTGTCATTTTGCTGCTGGCAAATTGCCATCCTCTTTTTATGCCTCAATCCCTGCATCTTGAGTTCTATGTGGGCCACTGCAATTTAGTAGTGGTGTCTCGGAAAATGCGTGGATATTGCATGTCAAACCCTTTCAAATCTCGGGAACAACACGCTAGATATATTATGCTTTACTCGTGGCAGCTGCTCCGCTTGGTTCATCTTTGGCAATTGTATCGAGTCATTGACATGAGTCGTTGGCATGTAGCCGTGGCAAGTTGCAATGGTTATGTCTCTTATTCCAAGCCTTGCACAAGGAAAACGCTTCAAAGCGCTTGGAAGCAATCTATTTGGAGCCTTGCTGGGCTCAAGATTCAGAAAGAGAGTCCTAATTAAGAATCTTGAAGCTGGAAGCGAAAAGGGCTCTTCCGCCACTTTGAAGTCCTTTACCTCAAGATTCACAATGAGAGTCTTAAGAATGTTGAATTTTGAGCCTTGACTTCCAAATTGCTGCAAGGCCGCCGTTGCAATTCTTTACTCCCTACAGGATTCAAAATTCGCAATGAGCGTCCTGAGAAGCTTTAATCTTGAATCTTTAAAGCTGTTTTAGGGCTCTAGAGTCTAGGTTGAAAATATCAAACCAGGGTTCTGAACAGAGACTATTGCTGCTGAAAAACGAATTTCGCAAATACAAAATAAAACAATACTCAAATTTAGGGCTCTGGGAGAAGGGTGAACGTAACTCAACAGTATTGCACATGACAGCAACAGCTCTCGGAGGGTGGGTTTGGGGGGTGGCACGGTGGCACCATTTGTCTATATTAAATATTGTATATATATATATATGTATGTGTACAGGTATATTATGGTACTAGGTTTGTGACTTTGGTAGACCGAAACAAGTGGCAAAACCTGGCCCCAAATCCCCGGAAAAAAAAGCAATTAAAAAACAAAAAACACATAGGTTTCTACATGAGTGAACCATGACATAATTAGCTGCATTGGCTCCTTTTTCCTTCCATTTTTTCCTTTTCCAAGTAAAAGTAACAAAATAAGCTGTGGAAGTAAAACGTTCAAGAGTAAAACTGTAAAACTTGTTGTACTTCAGACGTTTTTTTAAAGTAAAAGGACCAAGTAGACGTCCAAAAATAAATGTTGTTTTCTGTTTACTAAGGACCTTCGGATGTTGTTGCATCAACCACCACTGTGTCGAACTCGCTCTGGCTTTCAAGCAACTCGCAGCATGTAAACAGCCGACCCAGTGCTGTCAGACGATCTACACATGAAACTCACCCGCAGAAAGATTACAGTACGCCAAGCATGCTACCTGCTCAAACTAGGACCTGCCATTCTTGAACCTGGCATGCACATGCGAAAAACTGCTGGCGAAGGCCCAAAACAGATGCTGATGTCAAACGCAGAGCAAACCATGGCCGTAAAGCCACATGTTGCGCCGGCATTGCAACGGACCCAAAACACAGACAGTAAAAACAAGCCAAGTGGGGGTAGGATTGTCTCTTCTTTTTGTCATGTTTTTGGTCCAGTGGGTCTGCGGGAATATTGGGCATCATGTGCAACATGTTGTGCAAAGTTGCGAACCAAGCTAAGAGCCTTGGAACGTGTTGTGCAACATTTGCACCTGACTGACATCAACATTCCCAATAAATTTTCTGTGCATCTTGGATCTTGGGTCCCGCCCAGAAAACTCACTTTAGTTTTTCCCCAACAGCTGAAAGCTTTGGGGTCTCAGCCCAGATAGGCTCCGGGGTGGTCCGGGGCGGCCCTGAGGTGAGGTTCCACGAGGGTTCCACCAGGGTTCCACCAGAGTTCCACCAGGGTTCCAAGAGGTTCTGCGAGGGCTTCGGGGTGGTGCGAGCACTAAAAGGAGCACCGCATGCTGTTGGGGATATCACCTGAGAGGAGGAACGCTGATCTGAAAGATGCTGAAACAATATCGCATTATACTGCATTTTTGCCAAGGAGCAGATCCATCTTGATTGAAACACGTTCATGTGATTGGCTTGGCTCAGCGCGTGCTCAGATAGAATTACATGAACATTAGATAAGCGCAATTCACCTCTTGAAATTGGAAGAATGTGTATTTGTTTTCTCCATGTGTGGTTTATGCGGCATGCATCAGGAAGCAAATCGGTTAACGCTGAACTTAGTTTGAACTTGAAATGCCACTTCTCAAGTTGGATAGTCTTCCCAAACATGATAATCTATAGACGCTATAGACGATGTTGAATCGGTTAGACAAGCAACCCATCTATTCGATTGCATTGCCTTTCAAAATTTGATTTTCAGAGAATAGAGTTAGAATGTAAATGGTTTCGAACATCTATAGAATTTGATTATGAATGTGGATGGCACTGGGCATGCACATGGCGCACTATTGAAACTGTTTTGGACTTCGTCTTCAAATAGGCATCTAGCTAGGAATGAATTCCTTTCCCCCAAAATAAGGCTTGCGGGGTTTATTCACGACAATGAGAGTAACCATTGATGACATGAAGCGGCCAAAGTGTACTTTGCATACTACTCTTACAATGACACCTGTGAAGTGAACAAATGCGACTTTTGAGCTCCTGTCCAGTGCTGTTCAATTGTCCTCTAAATTGCGTGTGATTAGTTACATGGAACTGCAAAGAGAGTAGTATGCTCTTTTAAGATTCAATTGGGTTTACATTTCTTGGACTTAGATTTGGAGAAACCTCAAATGGGGTAGAGAGTCTGCTTGGAACTTACCCAAAGACACCTATCTTAAAGAAATCAAACCGTTTAGGCCCAAATCGATTTATATTTGTGGTTGGGTCTGAGTCGCACTCACTCGCGCGTTGCAAGTGACACGCCTTGTTAGACTGCCATGTTCGCAGGCAGACGCCTTCGAACATGCAATCGTCCAGCCTGGACACATCGCGAGCATCACAGGTCAGGTCTCACCCGTGGAGATGAGTGTTGGCCGACATGACTTTGGCTTGGAATCTATGAAGCGGAAATGATTACGGCTCCAGGTCACAGCAATTGCACCAATCTGATGTTGCTGTCTAAGACAATACCACATGAGCGAGCAGCAGACTTATTTGCTCTTCATGAGCACAGCAGTCCTCAAGCGGCAATACTGGGATCAACTTGCGGGGTTGTTTTAGGGCTTGCGCGATGTCTTTCAGCTCCAAGTTTGACGTCAGCAGGGCACGCTCGCGAAGGTGGCAGGATGAAGTGACAAGCATCCGCCAGAATGGGAGGGAATGCCCCGGTGCCTGTCACTTTGTCTTCAGATCCGCTTCTCGCGCCACACCTGCCTATGTTCCGCGTCACTCTTATGATCCATGGAGCCATACATGCAGCCGCGACGTAGATGAGAGGCCAGAGTGGCAGCATCCAGCGCCGTTGCACTCTGTGCTGCAAGATTGGAAGCAGAAATCTCCCCACAAGGCAAGATGCGAAGAGGCGCTGTGCTTCTGGACTTCTCACGGAGCTGGCAAGGGCCGCTACGGATTCTCCGAGGGCCCGCAACGGGATGTGATCGATGCTGGAGCCGCCGCAACACAGCGTCCAAGGCCTGAGGTATCAGAGACAGGTTTCAGCGAAAGGTGCACAAGCACTGGCACACCTTCGTTCCAGCCTTAGTCTTGTGGGAGATTAAACGCTGAATATTGCCAGGTTTTGATAGAGACGAATGCATTGAATGACTTGTCATGATTCTTTGTAACGAATTTGTTCCCCGTCATTTGCAGCCTTTTGTGTTGAGTTGGTCAGTATGCATTTGGTATCCTCAGCTTGTACTTGCATTTGCCGCCGCTGCATCTTGCTTCGTCTAAGGCTTGGCCTTGCACACCCACCTCGCAGCTTTCTCCGCCCCAGAATCCAGGGAAGCCCTCGCTCCACAGGCTTGCAAGAGGCAGGGGTGGCCGTGATGGCCTCCAGTTGAGCTACTTGCGATAGTCACAGGAGCCGACATTTTGACGTTCTGACAGTACTTGCCGAAGGCATGCTGTGACGGACATGACCAAGTGTCATGCATTTCGTTCAGTGCAAAATCACGTCTCTGACCAAATGTCAGGAAGGCAAAGCTGTGTCTAGATTCCGGGCAAAAATGCGCTAGCGACTACGCTGAGGGGTTTGCACGACATGGTCTTTGCAGGTCATGTTAAGTCCGAATACCAACTGAGACCAAGCTCGATGTTGCCAGGTCTTCTCACAGCCTGTGAGGGCAACACAGCCAAAGACTCAGCTTGAGTTGTGCTGCGCCTTTTTCTTGAGACCAAATCTGCAACACTCGCACCAACTACACGACATTGGCTCGAAAGCTCTGTCTTCACTTCGGGCCTTCGGCTCCAGAAGAGCTTCGGAGGCACCGTCTCTGGCAACCCTTGCTTCGCCTCGGATCCGCGTCAGATCCTCCAGTTCCTTGGGCAACGTCCAGCTTGGTTGGCCTTGGCTCGGACACACATCTGTCCAACACAATTCCGGCGCAGGTTCGTTGCCGAATAGCTGAATAGCTACCCAGCCCTTTCCCTAGCGCACTAAGCACAACTAGCGCACCTTTGGGCTCACAACTTGCTTGAGCGCCCCTTTTCTCGGGCTCTCGGCTCTCACACGATGAATTGACTTGGAGGCTGTCAGAACAGTGCCTGGAGGCCAGCAAACCCCGCTCCACAGTGGATGCATCCTTCGTCTACACCTTAGCCACTTGTGTGCGAGTGAGCAAGTGTTTGTTTGTGCGTTTGAGGTCGCAGCATCACTTGGACCAACAGTCCTTTGGCATGCATCAGCTTTCCGCTCAGTCTCATTTTGATCGCACATTGAGTCATGTTTGCCAGCAGCGTCGTTGTCCGCTTGGCGGGTTTGGAGCTACAATGGCAGTATGTGGTGGCTGTTGACATTTGCCATCCAAGGCAGCATTCGCATGCACCCTCGCTGTCCCAGCCACTTTGGCCAAGCTCGCAGCATGATGGTCCAAGCTGCGCATGGCCCAGCTCTTTGACTGCAGGAAGCACCGTATGTCCGAGGCTTCATAGTCAATTTACAAAGCTGAAGTTGCATAGAGCTGCTGAGAGGTTGGATGCTGTGCATTTGTCCAGGTTCCCAGCCTCAGCTGACCGATCAGATACGCATGCCCGTTCAGTGTCTCGACGGCAAGTGAAGGATGCATGCTACGTCACGGGCCCTTGCATCGCAGCCCAGCTATCATGACAAGCTAGCTTCACGTTGGGGCGGGAAAGACGCAAATGGCCTGCTTCAGTCTTCAGGCAAAACTTGCTTCATCCCTCGACCTACCATCCGCAGGCAGGACGGCTTCCATGCCTTGTTTGGAGAAGAACCTTGGAGCAACATCCGACATCAACTGCGCTCAAGAGATGTTCTGGCATGTACAAAGAGATTGACCTTATGTTACTCGTGGCTTGAGAGAGAGAGAGAGAGAGAGAGAGAGCCGACAGTAGTCACCACTAGTCGAATGAACAACTAACACCGTTGCCAACCAACTTTGTTGACTATTGCTTGAGAGGACGGAGGATTTGGACAGCTAGCTAAATGACATGTTGTTTGGAGGCAGTGGAAACAGGTTGTGGAGCATCTCGAAGTATTCATCTTCGCTTACATCCTCATAGCAGTGATTGGAGCGAAGTTGAGAAGTTGAGCCTTTATGTGCTGTGCCCACTGCCGAGTTTTGCAGTTTGCCATATCCATATCCAACAGGGCCCTACCCTCACAAACAGGGAGGGCAGTTCGCCCATGAAGCCCGAGTATTGGGCTTGTACATTATATATATATATATATATTATGTGTACATATATATATATATGTATATTTGATGGTATTTGTTCAGAGGAGCTCGCAATATGATGGTTTCGTTGACTATTTGTTCTAACAATTGCTAGTGCTGCGGCTGCTGCTGCTGCTGTTGCTGCTGCTCTCATCCTGGTTAGAGGAAGCCATGGCGTTTGAGCAGTTTATTGTTTTGCAATGGTGGTGTGCGTGTGCTCTACGAGATTGTTCATCCATTGTGACGATGTGCTGGCGGGGCATGAACAAAGGAGTGAGGTCATCACACAATGGACATTTTGCTGCGATCCTAGTACATAGCCTTCGCAGTTATTTGCAACCAGACTTTGCTTCTCCATTCCCTACCGTGTCCCACTTTTTCTCGGGAGAGTTTTGTTGTTTGGCCTGACCTATCTTCCACGGTTTTATGGTGTGTGAGTCAACATCAAAGGTGCACATTCGTTGTAGCTCCGGACTTATGCTATTTTGACTTCTTTTTGTGCATTCGCTGATAGTGAAGAGGTTCACCACTGAGGCGCAGCTCCTCTGTGAGCCCTAGTCTATTCAATATCATTTGCTCTGAAGAAAATGTGAAATACGCGCCGATTTGTCACTAGTGAAAGGGGGGCTACTCAGCAACTCCCCGCCTCAATTATGTTTGAAAGTAGCCTCATGTGGCTTCATGTCAACCACACTGCAGGAACAAAAGCCTTTGATGATCATTTGCAATCATGATACGAATGCCTCGGTGAAATCGAGCAGCCCTGGGTCCTATGCCAACACAACAACATTTCTATGCATTGCTTGTGTTTGACTCCCCAATTCCCCCTAGTATGTGAAAGGGTTGTGCACTTCTGAACTCCAACATCCCTGGGGAGAAAACAAAATAAACATTTTGCAGGCGCAAAGCAGCGTCGCTGAAGCAGCTGCTGCACTGGCTGCAGCGCTTGCTCCTCTAGCTGGAGCTGGAGTCGTGGCCTCAGTGCCGGTCGAGGTGAGGAGGTGAGGAGGTGACTGAGTATTTTGCAGCAAGCATCGGTGAGTCAGTGAGGGTCATGGCGTGGTCCGTCGTCGGTACCGATGCAAGGCGCGAATATTGCAAGAGCAAAAATGCATAAAAGCATGAAGCTCAGAGAGTGAGGCATGGGAAACAACTCTGGCAGGCGCCACCTCCGCCATGCAGCCCGCACTCGACAGTCAGGCGTGGGCCTTGTCAGTTCGAGTAGCACTTGGCAACCCCAAAGTGGCAGGCCCAGAAGTCCGAGTGTGAGCTCAACACCGTGCAGGTCACGCAATGACATGCACTGGATCGCAAGAGTTCGGAGATTGAATCCCTAATTTTCGTCGCTGATTTGAACACGGAAGGAAGAGGCGGCGCGTGCGAAGGCAGAAATCGCAGGCTGAGGCTTGGTGCATCTATGTGTCAAGCTGCGATCATGGCTGTTGCGACCTGCAGACTTCCTGGCAGGTTGTCAAGGAAGTGAGCACTGAGACCATCCGCACATGCGTGGGTCGCCTGTCAGAGGCAAGTCTCGAGTATCCGAGCCAAGCAACTTGGTGCATTTGTGCCTCAGGACCTTCGCAGGAAAGACAAAGAGCGTGCTGCAGGGCGCACGAAGTGCCAAAAGGCAGCCAGCATGGCTGGAGTCTCGGTGGGATGTTAGTTGCAATAAGTGGTTTGTCGTCCTGCTCCGCGAGGTCTTGCGGCTGCTCAATGAGCATCAGCGGGCGTGCAGGGAGAGTGGCCCCTTTCTTGGCATTGCTGTGCGGTTGGAAATGTGGATAGGCCAGACTTCTGGGCCTCGCTAAGGTGAAGCACTTGCTGGCACCATCAAAGCAGCGGATGCTGCTCTTTCAGCCGTATGCCTTGCACAAATTGCATGGGAATGGGAAGTTGAGACATCCGAGCAGAGTCAGAGGACATCAAAGAGACTGCAATGCTGAGTGCCAAATGCCTGCCATGTGGATTGCGCCGAGCCACGGGGTTTTGTGCGTGCCAAAGTCTGGGTGGCCTGGGCCAGGGATTTGTTCTCCGAGCCGCCTTGCGCCAGGTTGTTGCCCTGGAGAGGTTGCACTGCACTGAGCAGGGCAGGCGGGCTGGCTCGAGGTTTAGTAGATTTGATGTTGGGAATTCTCAGGTGGCTCTCACAATGTCACAGTGTTTGTTCTTAGCCGACTGCACTTTAGCCGTCGATTGGATTGCTTGAGGCAAGCACTCCCATGGGCGCTTCAGGCTTAGTGCACCTCCCATGCCGGCTCGCTCTCGAGCCACGAGTTTGCCTATGGCTGGGCCCTGAGGAAGTGCATTGGAAATGCTTGGGATCTACCCCTGAACATTTTCACATGTTTTCTAGTCGCGTGGTCTCTCAATGGGCATGATTGCGGTATGATGATTGAGTTCCTGGCGGTCAAATGAATGATGGCACCGATTGCATAACATGTGTTTCGCGACACCTTGCTGACATTTCTGAGGGCCTCCCGACAGGGTCGGTGAACATGTCCAAGCGGAAGCGACGAATTGATGGCATCACTGCTTGAGCCAGCCAGAGATACTGAGTCATTTCAGTGTTG